CGATTTAGCTCAGTGGCATAGCACCTGCCTGGCAAGCACAAGGTTGTGAGTTCAATTCCAGATACCTGAAAAAAAAAACAACAAAAAAAAAAAGCAAGTAGGAAAGAGACTATTATTAAACAAGAAGAATGAGTAAGGGGAAGCAACAAGAGGGTATGAGGGGAGTGAGGGGATGCACATGACCAAAAAATACTCATTAAACCCAATATTCTGTAAAATCGATAGGCACTTAATAAAAGAAAAAAGAATGTAAACAATTAAAAAGGTCTTATGGTACAGTAGAAAGATATCTAAAGACTTTGCTTATGAATTCTAGCTCTGTCACTTATTAGCTAGGGCATAACTTCTCTGAGATGTAATTTCCTCATCTGTAAAATGGGGCTAAAAGCCTTTGATATCAGTTCTAAAACATCACAGAAACAAAAAGTTAAAAACTTTACATGTAACCCCTCAGCAAAGTCACCATTTTATTTATTAAACTTTTCTTTCAATATCTTCCCCTCACTGGGTAAAATTAAATTACAGAAATACAGAACTTCTTGTCCTGTTCTTGTCATTTATCTAGGAAATACTTTTTCATATTTATATAAGACCTTATTTTCAAATAGTTATAGAATATTCCAGCACAGTGGTCAAGGTCTGTACTAGCTTACTGGGAGCCTAAGACAACTAGCGAAAGGGCACAATTTCTGAGAAGGATTGGCCAGAGGCCCTCCTGTATGCATCTGTGTGGGCAGAGGGCTTAGCAAACACGGCTCCCCCTTACACAGAGATAACGTACACAAGCACCTGTGGACATGCTGATAAGCAAGCAGGATATGTAAAAAAAAAATCTCCCTATGAATAAACAGGTAGAACAGTACCGCGAGCACACTGGAGTTAAGCCACCTTATTTCAGTCTACCGCCTCATGTACGGTTTGACTCAGGCAAGTTGTCTGGCCACTAAACGCCAACCGTGGTGGCCACCTCGAAGAGGCACTGTGAGGAATGACCCACAGAGGGTCCTAACCACAGCCCCTCGCACAAACTGGCATTCAGTAAGCTTTTCTCCCCGCTGAAAATGATACTAATGTTGTCCACATCTTTGTGCCACTTAAAAAGCACTTTAAAAAATTCCCTCCATGAAAAACGTTACCAGGAATGGGATTACTGTGTTAAAATGTACAAACAAGGGTCTAATCCTGAGCTCTTCATCTCCTCATATAAATCCACCGATTCCACGGATGGGATGTGAACTGTCAGATGATGATTCCTGAAATGCCGTTCCACTAAAAGGATAGTTCTAGGAAAAACAGCAGAAATGGTTTAGGGGAGGTTCAGGAAAAAATATGAGCAGCGGTTGGCAATCAAAGGCAAAGTGGATCTTGGCTTCTTCAGCCCAGGGGCTAAGAGCCAGCCGGAACACCTCCAAAGCTTTTCCAGTTCTGTCGTCTGCGATGCCTTCTCGCCACACTACCATTTCCCATGTCCATCGCGGCAGACAGCTCCTCCCGCTCTCCCAAACACGCTGACGTCAGGTTTGCTCACCACATGCCCTGCGCTCCACCTGGAGCAGACTCTCCTCAGCCTGAGAACTAGCTGAAAGACCGAGCTTAAATTGTCCCTTCCTCCACCGCCCAAGTTAGTACTCTACCACCTTCCTTAAAAACTTAGGGAACTTGCTTACTGTCTATGTAATTTCAAGTATTACTCTTGAAATGCCATTAGGGCATTAACCTTGATCTCATGATTTTTTAAACTACTTTCCCTTTTATCTGAAATACCACAGCCTGGTGCTCACAGATTAAATGTTTACATACATGCATACAGTGCATCATTTAAGTCAGATCTGCAGCTACATTGGCAGAATTTATGTCAACTGGAGACACAAGGGGCTCTAGAGACAGGACAGCAGCCTTCCTTCTGGCCAAGCTGTCAGACATATGGTAAATCGGAACCCAATAGTTGATACAACTCAAGATGTACGTCCAGTTATAAAATACTTACTGAACAACTTTACATAGTTACGAAGTAAAGTGTGAATACAAGGAATAGCCTGTGCTAACATTTGGTTTTTAGTTGAGAACCTATGTCTTAGAAGAGTGCTGTTCCTTTTTTCTTTAATCAAGTCTCATTTATAAAGCATTTTTAAGCTCCTGAAATCTCATCTCTTCTCCCAAGTTTAACCAATCTTTTTGCCAAGTAACAGAGGTAAAGATTACCATATCTATGTTATTATCTGGAGATTAGGAAGAAGGAGCTGGTCTCTATTGGATACCGAGACATTTACTGATTAAGCAAAGCTACCAGAATAAACCATCTCTACAGAACAAGAATATTCTTCTCTTAAAAAATACAACATTAATAAGAATGTAATACACCCTAATGGGTTAAAGTCTCAAAGTAAGGAATCATAATATGATAACAGAGTGTATCAGTGGTTAAAAGACAGAGGGCTTTCTCCCAGGACAGTGCGCGGGCGCTAAGTCACCAAGTTATCACGTTATAGCATGGACAGCAGTCACAGACCCTGCCACCGTGCACATCAGCTTCACCCGTAACTTACGGGATGTTCCGGTCTGAAGCCTCATCATCAGTGTATAAACTGACGCTGCTCCAGAGGCCACAGGGGGAGGAGCGCGCGGGGGGCAGTGAAGGTATTCAGCAGAGAGACCAACCTGGCAGTGGTGTGAGAGATGAACAGAACCACAGCGAGGGCGACAGCAAGGTGAGGAAGGATGAGGCGAGAAGGCCATCTGGAGGAGGCGGGGGGACGGAAACAAAAACAAGAAGAGAGCCGGGAAGGTAGAGGCCGTGTGAGGAGAGAGGAAGAAAGGGAGAAGAGGAGGAGGAGGAGGAGGAAGAGGAAAACATGTGAACAACCTTTGGGAATTGAAGAGCACACGCACCACACGCCTTACATCTGACTGCTGCTTCTATAGGTAAGAGATGCGATCCAGGGACCAAACACAGAAATAGAACCGGGCACAAATCCATGAGCCACAAATATGGAACTATCATCGACACACACTGCTTAAAAACAAAAGTCGAAGCTTTGAGGCACCAAGCGGAATAAAAACTGTCCCGCTGACTCTCTTCAGTTACTAAAACTCATGAAGCAGAGTCAAGCGCAATTTCAGTGCTCCTTCCTGAGCCGCAACTGCTGACATAAGGACAGAAGAGCGCAGCGCTGGTTTTCAGTGGGTCATTTCTGAGCAGCCTGCCACCAAAAACCCTACAGTCCGGGTCTCCGGGCGCCACGTCCACCTGGCCCACTTCCGTACCTCCAGCCTGCTTTCCAATGGAGAGTAAATGTTAACGGCATCTACCCTGAGCCAGTGCACAGCACCCTAGGTCATTTTCGATGCCCCTGTACCCAGCCTTCCGGGCCAAGGGTCACATCCTTCCTTGAGCCTGGGGTATTTCCCCGATCCTCCCACTTCACCAGAAACAATATGATCACTAGGAAAGGACTTTAGTAATTTTTACGAGGTGAAATATTAATCAGAAAAATGAGTACTGGTTAGGTAGTAGCTGGCTGATATATGATACCGTCAAACTAAGGAATGACAGAAAATCAAATTAAAATATACGCTGTAAAGCAAACCCCTTACACACAGTTATCAATTGAACTAGTGGTGAGAACTTCCACCTGAGCACCAGGTGATTACGGAACTCTTCGGGCACAGGCCTTTCCCTAACTTCCGCACATCCCCCGCCCACCCGCCACGCTGCTGCACACTGGCAGGCTGGGCCCTCGAGAATTCCGGGAGGTGGAGTGAAATACTGCTCTTTGTCATTTTAGAATCAATCAATTCTAAATGCACTAGCGTTTTTAGCATTTTGTAATGAGGAGAATGTGAATGGTTTGCTGGCAACACAAACATGAAGCCCTTCAGCAGAGCTGAACTTCATCACAGAGAATTTTCTGTAACTTTTCATGACCAAACCCACGTCAAAGGGACGAAAGATAATTAACAACCACACCCGAACGGTCTGAAGCCTCATATTTACTAAAAACCCTACCACAATAACCCCAAATCCATGGTTATTTCAAATACATCAAAAGTGTCCTCTCGCCAGATCATGTCTGAAATACTTGAGATAAAATTTTCAAGCTACAGAGACTAAGCGATATATGGCAATGAGGGCCTTATGATTAATAAGACTTTGCATTAAACTCACAGACCATAGAAAGCTTTATGAACTTGTTCTACTCTCTCCAGTTTGATTGGCTGAAGAGCTGACTTATCTACTAATATACTGCTAACTCCCAATGCAGTGTCTTGCAAATGAGAGAAGTTCTAAACTACTTTCTCAATTCATGAACAGTCACGGTATGAGTGAATGAACAATCCCAGCAGTCTTACGCCCAAAATGGTTGTAAATGGTAAGCGCCAATCCTCCCTCAGCCCGGTGGTGCTTCAGCCAGGATGGATTTAGCAGGGAAACCCCAGGAGGATATGTAAGGTCGACAACTGAAACACATCTAACCAAAGAAACCCTGCTTAAAGATGTTTCATTTATTTTTTTAAAAAACAATTCACTGCAGCATTCTGCACCTATCACTCAGAAGATGCCCCACGGAGCATGCGCCTGAGTTCCGAGTGGAAGAGAGGAGGGCAGCGGAAAGAGCAAAATGCAGCGAAGCTCTTTAGACGCTCAGATCTCAAAGTGTGGCCTCCATGCTGGAAACAAGACCTAAATCACACTTTGAGCACTCACTAGGTCTCAGACACTGGTCTGCCATGAGACCACTCTGCTAATCCTTTGTAGAAATGTCTCACCTTCTATGCTAACTCAGGGTATGGTGTTTCCAAAAGGCTACTTGAAGCTAGAGAGTAGGGGCCAATGGGAGCACCCATGAATTCCAAAAGAAACTTCCCCTTGGAGTTATCAGAAGGAAAGTGCTAAATGGCAAGACGCGCTGATACAGTACGCTGCCCAGAATCAGCAGAAAGGGGGACGCAGCTGTCCCAGCGCACCCTACTGCAGATTCCTGCCGCAGACAGGCACTTACCGCAGAGCAGAGTGTCTTCCGGAGCGGGACACGCTGCTGCCCACAGGGGAGGGCAGGTTGCTCCCTCTGTGCAGGTCCTCGATGGACCTGCTCCAGGACTTTGATTTGTCCACTGTACTCTCCACAGTACTTTCCACACTTTCGAAGTCAAAGCTACAAAAGAAGAATGCTGCTGAAAACTTACAAATCCCCATTCACACACACATGGGTGGACACAACTCACTGTCCCTGGAACATGTGTGCATTTTGGCATAGGAAATCTTGGCAAAGAAAAGTAAAAGGCACATTAAAAGAATTTCTACAGACCCAGTGTTAGCTTCAAAAACGCGAGAATGACAGACACTGGGCCTGCAACCGAATCGTGGAGCAATGCACAGCAGAAGTTAAGCAGTGATGCAATACCTGTAGTGTACTCTAAGGGTGCGAGCTTACCAAGGGCTAAAACTGCGCTGGTAGAAGGTGGGAAAGATCCTAACAGCTGTCTTCATTTCGCTCTAACAAGTCAGTACGTTAGGTTTATACTAATGTATGCGTACCCATCCATTTTCACTGAGCATTTTCTCCCAGTGCGTTGGCAAGTACACTCTTCCAACCATATGTGATACATTACGAGTGAAGTAAGGGTTTGCTTTGATTTTGGAATCTCTTCCCAATGTGGTGCTCTGAAAAGTAGGACTGTTGTTTCTCTGACACTGCTTGAGGTTATTACTCATGTTCACCATGTTAGAATGAAGGGCAAGCTCAGTGGCTCACTCTTCTACAGTTTTAGGAGCAACATTTTCAAACAGACGGGCCTTTGTGCTCCACGCATTTTTCCTCTCACGGGAAACAGTAACTCTGCTTCCTCAAAAAAGTTGTACTCATCGTTCCCACACACGGCCCCACTAGTAACGGCTGGTCGGACCGCGGAACAAACAGGGGACAACTGCAGTTAGCATCCTTCGGGGGATTTCAGAAGATCTTCCAGGAGAAAAACATACGTCTTAGAAATTACCCATGACTCTTTAATTATAGTATGACGCCAAAATGAAATGCCACTGGAGCAGTTCTCAGAAAACTCCTTGACACTGCCCACCCACTAAAGCCGAATCAGACAGCAGGTGCTAGTGCATCCACCCAGGGCAGGTCTGTCAGGTCCTTGCACGCAGGAAGCGACGCTGAATGAAGGATGCAGAATGAGGGAGCCCAAGACAAGCTGAGTACTAAAAACAGAAGGCTGCAAACCAGAGCGAAGGAGGTTCAGTCAGGGCGACACCCCAAGATCACTCAGGTACCAGCATGCACACTGCTCTCTGCTCATCCTCACTCTCACCCAGCAGAGCAAGGAAAGGCGCATCTTGGGGAACCTTCTACTCACAGACTCACCTTGCCTAGGCTGGGAAACTGTCACGTGACAAAGGAGAGCAAGAAAATCTCAAGCCCACTGGTTTCAAGATAAAAGACACATTATACATTTACATGTAACATGTTATCTAATTAAAGCAAAGCTAAACTAAAAATAAGAAGAGCTTAAAGCCCACGCCAGAATAAACAGATTAACCCTAGGCCACAGGTCAGGAGACAAGAGCACTGGGCTCTGACCTTGTGTCGGCCGCTGTCTCACAGGGAAACCTGGGTTACAAGCGCAATTGCCACACAGGTAAAGGACCCGTTGTAGCAAACACAGCACACACAACATGCCGTTCTCCTTGACTCTTCCTAGTCCTCCCCTCCACTGTGGAAACAGTCTCTAGACTTTAAAATACGCAGTGAGAGCCGGGTGTGGTGGTGCACGCTTGTAATCCCAGCACTCGGGAGGCTGAGGCAGGAGGATGGTTGCAAGTTCAGTACCAGCCTGGGCTACAAAGTGAGCTCAAGGCCAGCCTGAACTGCATAGCAAGACCCTGTCTCCAAAATGACCCCAAAAAATAAATAAATAAATATTTAAAAAGTAAAATATGCAGTGTGGAATATTACTGTGCTTTATCATATAACATGAGGCATAAGAGAGATTATATGGCTTTCATGTAATCGAGACAGGTAAAGTTTGGAAGAACATGCCATAAGAACTAGATTACATTTCAGAGTACAACTTCTCAGGAAGATCTGACCCTATCCAATGGGGTTGTGTTTTATTTTTTTAAGTCTATTTCATTTAATACCTGAGAAGTATCAAAACAGAAACCAAGCAAGCCAGTTTCAACCGAAAGTTTAGTTTCTGTATCTATACGATAAGAACAATTACAGTTTTCTCCTCATAAATTCTGACGGAAGTGATGGGGATTTTAAGATTAAACGTGGTTAGGGCCTAGGACTGCTTTGAAATTAAGCGGCATAAAAATCAAGATACAGCATTTACAAAATGAAAGAGAAAAACCGCCACGTGAGCTGCAGCGCCTCCCAGTCAAATTATAACCACAGCGCCACTGCCTCAGTCTGCACAGAGGAGGCTGCATCTGTGGGGAGCGGAACATTTTCTGATTAAAGGAGAAAATGCAGAGAAAGCCTTGTTGAAATGTACACATTCCAGCCCTGCTCTAAACCATTCCAGAGGCCCAGAAAACGGGAGAGACTGATGAAATAACAAAAACAAAGTTAAATATGAAGGGCCTCTCCCCCTGTTCTACTCCTGTCCTCAGTCCTACCCCCGAGTGTCAGCAGGAAACTGAAACAATGCAAATATACATGAAAAGAAAAGGTAAAACCTCGGTCTGCCACTCCCTCCCAGGTTCATTTTTGCAATCATCTTCTATGCGTTTATTAGCATACACGTGTGTGTGTGCATGCGTGTGTGTGTGCGTGTGTGTGTGTGGTGTGCACGCACACTTGCAACAGTAGAGACTGTATGCAAGGGGCCTTGCCTGTGTTAAGCAAGTACTCAATCACTGACCTACACCCCCTAGCTACTCCTTTTTAAAATAAAAGGGTAGGGTTTAGGGTGCAGTTCAGTAGGACTAAAAATAAGGGTTCTACTAAGGGCGACTTTTACTCACCTATTTCTGCCTTAAAGGCATTTCTAATAACAATTAAACGATTGTTTCAAGTTACACAAACAGAAACTAACCTCCTTAAACCCTCCCACATCTTCTTGATGCAATGGATAATTTTACCACTAAGCTACAGCTTCTGAGACCACACGAAATTCAAATGCAAGCAACCCGAATTTTACTTACGTTACTGCATACTGCGCAAATGACAGATATTCTACTAGAACATCAAGGCCTTTGTTTTCTTCATTCAAAAACTCTCTGACCCATCTGTTGGAGAAAACAAAAATTGAAGCAGTTCATCAAATGATCTCATACAGAAAAGACATAGTGGAAAGTTTTAGTTTTCCCCCAGAAAAATCCACTGCCTGAAAGGCAACACAGAGGAAGGCCTCAACCAGTCCACACTAGGGAAGAGCTTGCAAGGATGATAGGAAAACCACAACGTCTCAACGTGCAAGGAGCAGAAAGCGCGTGTGCGCCACCCCCTACTGTTGGCGAGACTTGAGATAATCTATAAAACACTTCCTAGAAAAGGAAACTTGCTCAGTGTACTCTTTCCACCACAACTGATTCACAGCCCGCTGGTGGAAGGGGCCACGGCTGCACGGAGGACGAGGCGGACCGGGAGACACGGCGCCGTAACCACTGAGATCCAGACCGGCTCCACGTCCACGCGCAACTCCTTGGCACACTAAGCTGAAGAAACCAGTACGCCAGCCAATGAGAGGCCGGTGTTTATGGGCTCCTGGAAATGGAACAGGGATAATGATTTGCGTAGTTTTTCCATGAATGTTAAAATCCCTTTAAAAGGCTGCAAGCACTGCAGACCATTACCTACGACAACACATGACAAATATTTGTTAAAAGATTTATTTTTAAATAATACTAAGCTACATTTGAATGGTGCGTAACAATTCCCTGAGATGTTGACACATTTTTATAAGCTTTTCGTAACAGCTCTGGTAGTCAAAGAGCATCTTCCCAGAGGTGCTACATATTCCACAGAGTTCCTCCAGAGCGTTCCTCTTCAGTGAATGAGTGGTACCTGAATAAACCTTAACCCAAGTGCAACTCCAACAAACAATAAGGAAAAGATCGGCTATTATGGTGTGGGGCGCAGGTGCCAGGGGCGTTCCAAAGTGGGTGCTCTCCTCCCGGGACTCCGCGCCCAAAACGTGGAGCGGCCACGGGCAGGATAGCTACTACGGAATACCATCCTGCCGGCTGTTGAAACAGCAGCAAGGACAACCATACCCTGTGTCCTGAAGGATGACAAACACGTTGCGATTTTGTCTTACAGGATGAAAAGATCTAGTCATGCAGAAGGTCTGGTTTTTTGTTTTGGGGTTTTTTTTTTGATGGGTGGGGATTGTTTTACCTTCAAACTCCTAATTTCTCCCAGTCCCACCATCTCTAGGATGTAAACTCTGCTACTTCCAGGAGGCAACAAAGTGGAAAATCAGACAGCTTAATTTGTATTTTCCCCCCAATGCCTCGACAGACTACCACCGAACGCATGCACTTAACACCGCCGGCTGCGGGCGCACAACCTTTGAGAGAAGTGCAGACAAGCAGCACTGGCAAAGAACACACCATCCGTGGGTCTGACAAAGCGGCTTTGTGGTGAAACCTAAACCACGAATGGGCTGCTTGCTGATAAGGCTAAAGTTTCCACAACAGCCACAGGTGTGATCTCTTGTGTAAACGAAGAGTAAAGACAACGGGCAAAGACAAAACAGCAACTTCAAATGCAGTATCTTGATTCTACAGGCATCAAAAGAACACGAATCCTTCATCTTGCAGATCTATGCAGCTGATCGTGCAGTGACTGCCACATTTCATGTTCTTGTAGCAAATTATTTCCACTTTCACCTGTGCATGCTGCGCACACTTTTTTAATATGTTGCCAATAGGCAAATGGTTTCAAATTGGGTGACTGTAAGTTTTGGAAAGTGGAATTATTCTGATTCTTACAGCCCACACTACTTCCTGAGCGCCTCACAGATTCACGTGGAATTACCATATGCTGTAAATCTGAATTTAGGCAAATTTCAAATCAGATGCTTAGAAGTTGGACGACAGTGATAATGAAAAATACCGCTGGGAAAAACCTGGATTCAAAGAAAGCACGCGAGTATTCACTGCTAAGCTGCAAACTGCTCAAAGCTTTGCTTCAGAGGTTTGTTTTCATGGCCTCCCCAGATCTTAGGACCTCACTGTCCCCGTATGGAAAATTAAGTCCTAAGGGACCCTCCAGGCTTTCCAAGATCAAGCAAACAGCCAAAAGATGTACAAGAAAAAGGGACAAAAACTGAATTCCCTTTGCAGGTCCCCTTTAGAGAGAGATCTTATGGACATAGGAAACGAACTTGCTGAAAAATCATGGCAAGTAAGAGAAAGACAAGCATTACCCAAATTTGACACTAGCCACCAGATCTGCTACAGCATGCTGCAAACTGATCCTCAGAGAGCACTTCACTCAGCATTTGGGTCCCTGAGACCCCTCGGGGCATCTGGGAGATAAAACTATTTTCCTAAAAGTATTAAGATGTACTCTTTATTCTGTTGACTCTAACATTCATGATGTAAAGAATAAAATAAATTAAATTTTAAAAAATAGGGCAAAACTGCTGCCACCGAAGAACACACCGACTTACTGCATTTTTCACCCCCTGCGACCAGAAAGGGGTTTTTTTAAAAAGCCAGGCTTAAGAACATCCTTAACAAAGCAGTAAAGAATTTATTAACACCTGATTTTTGAGTATTACCTTTTTAATTCTCTGTGTGACATAATAAGACGCTTCCATGAAGCACATGTGCTGCACACAGAGATGTCCTGGCTACTTCAAGGAAAAACACAGGGGCAACTGTTTGGTCATAAGCTGAACTGGCCACTTCTTATTGTACTAAGGACTGAACCCAGGGTCTTCATGGCAAGCTACATCTCCAGCTCTTTATTTTACTGTACATGCAGACTTCAATCTTACCATCATCCTGCCTCAGCCTCCCAGAGTGCTGGGGGTACAGACATGAGCCACCACAGCCAGCTCACCTTTTCATATGGGCTGCGAATTTATTTGTAAAAATGGCTAACACACTGTGGTCATCCTGTGTGGGATATTTAGAAGATACTGAAGGTAGTGAGCCTGTCATTTCAGGGAAAACAACAGGCAATATTTGTCAACAATGACAAAATTTGAGCACTGAAGCAAAAAATCAGAATTAGGGAAACCTGTATGTAACACCAATTTGAAGGCTTCCTGATACTTAACAGTATGTTCTGATGAGACTCGTGATTGTTAACAAGTGTGATTTTTTTAATATCGTAGAATGACATGTTTCAGCATCTGAAAGAACACAATAATCTCAGGACAACAATGTTTTCTAAATGATTTATACATGAAATTGACAAATCATGTTAGAAGATTTATAGGTAGACATATATTTATCTATCTATATGCATTCAAAACAAAGACAACATAATGGACTTTTTTAGCATTCCTTTTATAAAAGATTTTTATTAGTACGTATTTCCCATATGATAATCACATTCAACGCAGGGAACTGTAGTATTAAGAATGTCTTCATTCTTCTCTTTTAAGCATTTCTCCTCTTCCCGCTTCAACCACGTTTTCCTCTCCCCATCTACAAAAGCTCTGTTTTCATGTTTTCCCTTCCACTCTCTTTTTCAGTCCCTTTCCCTTCCTTCCCCCGCCCCCTCCCTTGTTCCCTTCCCGCTTCACGACGGGTTTTAATACACTAGAACACAGAGAGCTCACTGATACACGCTGCGTTTTAAGCAGGAAGTACCCCCAATCTCAGGCACTGAGGGGTCCCTTCCCCACGCAGCAACAGTCAGAGGCGGGACCTGGGCAGGTATCTGCACCTGGAGGGTGCCGACCTCATGGATGGACCAACACACTGCTGAGTCCCCGGAGGAAAGGGCACATCACAGGAGCAGGACGCTCAGGGCAGGCCACCGAAGGGCGCGTCCTGTGCGCAGGCCTTTCCCTTCTCTCTGGCTCTTTGCTTCTCTCTCCGCTTCCTGACATTTCCGCCTTGGAGCCAGCTGACCAAGGCAGAAACCTCGGAACCATACACACCAAAACGTTTCCTTCTTGAAGCTGCGTACGTCAGGTATTTTGTCCCACCAGTGAAAAGCTGATTAATGTGCTGTGGTTTCAGAGCCCACACTACAACCACCTTTAGAAAATAACCACTTGTTGGATTTTGGTGACACTATCAAAAAAATCCACAAGCATCCAAAACAGCCACTTAAAAACATTTCCGTCTTCTAGGCGTGTACGGCCTAAGGGCCAAGTGTGCTTCACCGACATCAAGAAAAACAACACGCAGCATCAGCAAATCAAATGTGGATGCAGGTAAGAGAATGCGGCTCTCTTCTACCCACCAGACACTAAGGAGATCTGCCAAAAGCTACTCCTGTCAATCGCCCTACTTTAGAAAAGTTGTATTTTATGAAACAATATTATCAAAATATTTACTTTATATTTATATAAGATGTTTATTATAAAATATTGCCTTATTAAGTGAATACATTTAAAATTTATAAACTTCTATTTCTAATGTGGTCATAGATACAACCAACATTAACAAAAGCTTACTGATAGTAAAAATAAAGCGTATAAATGAGTCCTGACACTAAAAAACTTGAGACACACTGGGGTGAATAATGAGGCCTTATATTCGTGCAAATCGAGGTTCAAATGCCAATGCTGGTAAGTGGTATAAAGTCAAGTAAGACATTCAGATGTCACCTTCAGTATTCTCACCACGTAATGAACGAACGAGTCACAGCATAGCCAGACAGACTCGCACACCACACACACCGTGGACGTCTTCCGCGCAGCTTCGGTCACGCCCCAGCGGCTCATTTCCTCCGTGGGCCTGGTCCAGCCCGCACTGATTCCCACGCTGACAGCCCAGGAGAAGAGGCGCTTGCTGAGCAGTCGCTCGGCCTCTTTCGTACACACCTCTCCCCTCCTCGCCGAGTGAGCACAGTGCTCGCACAACTGCATCCCTGTTCTTCCAACTCCCCGTAAGATAAAGTGAAATGAGCGCCCTTCAGAACTCCTGTGACCCTGCGCTCGGGGTGAAAAGTAATTTTCCATCATTATAGCAGTTTTACTAAACTAAATTACCTGCCAGACCGATCACTTACACCTCAGTCCCACAGAATGAAGCCAGGAAATCCACGCAGCTCACCCTACTGACACTCGCCTCCTATCCCCCACATCCGAGGCACTCACAGTTCCTCGGTGCATTCTAACAGCACCTGCTTCATTTCCAGGGTATTTCAAGTAATTTCAGGGGCTTGGACAAGTCATAATCCAATCGCTCTCCGCTGTTATTGTTCCTAAGAGTGAGTGAATGGGATTATTTCTAGCCCAAGTCTTATTTCAGTTTGATTCAAAGAAAATTAATTTTCTTTCTTGGAAGATTGCTCCATTTACAGAGTTTTAGGCTTACATCAAAACTCAGAGCAAACGCTTTGCTTGACAAAGCTACAGCTTAGAATGTCATCTCAGAGACGCCAAATAACCACGAAATGCAAGCATATGCCAAGAATAATTCTATCAGGACAAGTCGATTTTTAAATGTAATGCCTCCTTTTCATTTCTGAGAACCACGATACTCATAACTTCCTAGGTGTTAGGGTCATTTTAGATGAGGAAAGTAACATTCTCTGCATGAAATTCCTTAGGGAAATATATATACATATATATATCTATATATATATAGACATAGATATATAGAGATATATATATTTATTATTATAGAATTGTTAGTAGAGATTATTTGCCACAAGCCTAACCATAAACACTAGTTACCATCTATTCAGTAACTATGGTATATCAGAACCTCAATTAGGTCTTTTTTAAAATCTCACTTGATAAACAAAATAAAATCTCACTTAAACTTTACTAACAGCCTACCTTAAGCCGTCCAGTAACACCTATAGATGTTACACAGCACCTTGTGTTCCATTAATTTCCCAAGGTACTGACTGGTCTCAACATTAACTAGTTCTTCACAAGATTTCCCAATTAAATGACATCAAGCCAGGTAGTTTACACAATAAAGAACCCAGGGTTTAGGGTTATGGATGGGCAAGGTAAGATCCTGGTGTGTGATTTTATTCCATCTAAGTCTATGCCAGTAACTGTTTGCACACACCAGACAAAGCATTTCCATAAATTTTTCTGCAGTTAAAGCCAAAGCTTTCTCAGGGTGGCTCACGTAAGTTTGGGCAAGGGAAAGCTTCAGTGATGTAGATGAAAGAGATATAAGCATCTTTCCGCCTGTCCACAGGATCCTATACAACAAACCACTCCAACTGCCTATAGCCTGCTCTGGCATCAACCCAACAAGGACTCTTCCACTCAGCCAACTCTGGACTGAAAATGATCATTTTGCTTTGGTATTTGATGGTCAATTTCACATTATTTCAGCAATGCTTAAAGAAATGCTTTTTGACAATTTGTAGAAATCCTGGCTGAAATTCATCTCAACACTTGCAGTTAAGAAGTACCAAGGCATGGGGCTGGGCCATACCGACTGGAACCTCATTTCTGATCCATAAACACTGGAAAATATTTCAGTTTCCTAAGTTTGGATGTCCAAGTGCATTAAACTACCACCACTTTCACCCTCAACAGACAAGCTTCAGTGCTTTGATCTGAGAGCTCTGGTTATCCAATTCCTTTCAGAGAAAGTGCTGCCAAGGTAAGCAATTCAGGAAAAAGTACAGAGAATTTGAGCCAAAGCACCTGGCTCTACAGCTGCAGACTCTGTATTATTCACTCACCGTCTCTGGTCCTTACTCTCTTCATTTGTAACATGAGGGATTAAGCAATCCTTAATTTCTCTTCCAGTTCTAAAAGGATGATTATATGAATCATTTTTCTACGGTCCAATTTTTGGGGACAGGCGTGGACCACTTCATTGTGTGAAGACTTGGTTCTCCAAGTGGCAGGGCTGCTAGCTTACTCTTTAGGAAGTGAACATTCTCAGTCGAGTGCTGTTTATTTTCTTTCTTGGAGAATGAGGGGAGTGGTACTGGGAATGCACTAGGGCTTCATGTACCCTGCCGCTGGGCCACTCCCCCAGTCACACCCCAAAGCGCACCCTCACTGTGCGAATGAACCCCGTCAACCATCTGAAAGGTCTGACCAGCCACAGTCTGCCATAGAAGTGAGCTGTTATCTGAACTGTCATATATCTATTTTACCCTGTAAAACTATAATGCAATATGCATATATCATTTCATTTCTGACAGACATGTAACGTCACAGAACATTCTAAACGACAAAACAGCCTATAGCCCTCTCACTGTAAAACCCAGAAAGTCAAAATGTGAGAAATAACTTGCCCAATGTTGAATGGGCACTTTGCACATAACTAAAGCCATAAAACAGGAAGCCTGGTATCGTTCTGCTTCCCAGATGAACCACCGTAAAGTACTGAGTTATGCCATCCCCATAGTGGGGGAGAGAGTGTAATAAAACCCATGGATTCCTCAGGGAAAGCACCCATGTTGTCATGTCCAAGAGACCCTCAGAGCCGCTCAGTACAGATTCCTGAACAGGGTTTTCTCACTGTGGATCTATACTTCATGGTCCCAAGATTTTGAAGTGTTTGAAAGACAGACTCGGAACGTGCCTGAGTGCAAGGAGACCGGTCAGGTAACAGAACTCCACTCTCTGGCCCCTTCTGACCAGAAGCTCCAGGAAACTGAGGAAAGGGGAATGAAACAGCTGAGAGCTAACCAGCTTGGGAAACTCCAGTGAGGGCTTAAGGACTGTGCATAATCGCAAGCTGACCCAAATCGAGGGCTCCTGACTTGCCAGAGAATTGCCATGCACACATCCACACAAACACTATCAAGTATCTCACTCCCTTTTTGGCAGGACTAGGGGTTGAACCTAGGGATTTCACAGTGAGCTACATCCCCAGCCTTTTTTTTACTTTTTAATTTTAGGGTCTTACTAAGCTGTCCCAGATGGACTCAAACTTGTGATCCTCCTGTCTCAGCCTACCAGAGTGCTGGGATTACCTGCACATGCCAAGACCCCTGACTGAATTGCACATTTTCATCACATGCAAACAAACAAAGGCAACAAAAAAAACAGATATACAAAACTATTATAAATATCCCAGATCGAGAACTATCTTTCCTGCTTATACTGATTCTTGCACACTATGCAGCTCAAGTACTAGATAAAGACAATATTCTGGCCATCTAAATGTCAGGCTTTTAACTTACACTGACCAATAGGGAAATTTGATTCTTTTATATGACTCAGTCACTCTATAGTTGTCCAAAGGCCTTAGAATTAAGGTGTTACCCGGTACCGGAGAAAAACCAAAAAAACCAAACTAAGATGTTAAAGGGGCATACTTACCCAATGTGATTTGTTCTTAAAGAAATTTCCAGTTCTCTTAGCACTTGTGTAGACTCTTGAACACGCCTTCTGAATTTCTATAAATTTAAGCACACATACTCTCACAAAACAGTCTTTAGTAACTGCTACAATTACAGCTCACCCATAATAAGTTTCATGTAATATGAAAATATCTTTACTTCCGAAGCAGGCTCCTCTTTTTCTTTTTTAAAAAATAGTACAAACCTTTCTCCTTATAGAAAGTAGATTATAAAGAAGGACTAGAAAAATACTTATTTCACACAGCATCTTTGAGTAAGCAGGTTATCTCTTCTACGCCATATATTCACCAACATACCTACGAATTAAAGACCCCCCAAGACCACCTTTAGTTTCAACAATTCACCAGGAGGGCTTCACCCATGGCACTTCTCATGTTGTGATGTGCTGGAGCAAAAGAACAGGAAGCCAAATCAGCCCAAAGGAAAGATGCCCGGGACCAAGTGTGCCGGAACCCAAGGGCAGGCTTCCAGGAGCCCTCCCTGCTAGGAGTCACCCATGACAACACACATGAGGTTCAGCGCCAGGGTTCTCACTGAGGGTGGCTCCCTTGCTCAGGACAGAATTCCACATTCCCAGCAGAGAAACAGGTACTCAGCATAAACCACACTGTTTCCCAACAGTTCAGGCACAGTGAGCTGTTCTTCAGGAATGACGGGAATCCTCTCGAAGAGCAAGATGCCAGCAAGGGCCAAACCTGCAAGCAGGCCTTTGTGAGGACCACAGTCTCAGGCCTGCTACACCAGTGCTTTTCTGGGCCACTTAACACATTCCAAAAATAAGCACTCAGTCACCTCCGAGCCTGCGTCCTCAGTGGGTGGAGCCTGCTGTGATGCATCCACCCCCCAGCACCCCAACACACGATTCTCTTTCCCAGCAAACTCCCACCGTCCCTCCAGGACTGCCTTCTGATGCTAACACCACACCCTCCCTTGCCGCAAGAGAGTGGAGACAGCCAGACAGCCAACCTAGCCAGGGCAACGGGCCCTGTAGCTTCAGAGACTGGTGCCTGAGGACAAGGCAGGGTGCACCTGCGGATCCCACAGTGCAAGAGGGCAGAGCACCGGGCAGCAAGCAGCAGTGTGGGGAGGGCAAACGGCAGGAAGCGAGGCTCCGGAGCCCAGGCAGGAGCTGAGGTGCAAAGGGAAGCTCACACAGAGCGCAACAAGAAACTTCAGCAAAGAGGAGGCACCCAAGGGAGCCTTCTAGGGAGAGGGAAGGGGGCAGGGGCCGGGGCAGGAGGGAGGAGCCGCCGGCCTGCGCACCCAGCCGGGGATGGGCACCCAAAGGCCGCCGGGGAGGCGGCGGAGGGGAGGACTGGGCTCTGGCTCCAGCCACCCGGGTCTGCGCTGGGATTGCTCCTGCTGCCCAGAAGCGCGGCCTGCTGCTGGGGCAGAGCCATAGACCCGGACCCGTCCCACACGCTGTCTACCCAGGACCACAGAGACAGGCATGGAAGCAGACTTCTTCTTTCCTTTTTATTCTTTCTCTCTCCCTCTTATGTTTTTCTATAGTTTTGTTCCACTTTGCCTTCAGTTTTTCGCTCTCTGTCCTCTTCACTGTCCGATCTTGTTTTCACGTGACTGTGAAAGTGGTGTCGAACCTGCTTGTGCTTTGTGGTCCAGTTCTGTGCTTCCTCTTAGCTAGTCCTCTCTCTTTCCTGATGTTCTACACCAGTTTCCCAAAGTGAGCGTGAGCCCCCTTGGTCCTCAGCCTTCTAATCTCCTCTTCTTCTTACACCTCTCTGTTTTCTATTTTACTTTAGAATTTAACCCCTGAGGGCAAAATTCACGTATTAAGAACTTACATATGGCATACAATTTTCTGGTTTGTTTTAGATTTTGTTTTATAACCACAAGTCTAGTTCAAGCAGTTAAAGGTGGCCACATTTTATGCTACTGTCATTGGTACCACTTTAGCCAAAAGTGTCATAATTGTTCTAATCAGCTATTCTTCCTGGTATTCCAAGGCTGAGATTGACTAAGGGCCACAGAAAATATTGTGGCACAGTACCAAAGAACCAGAGGCTGGGCCAACCGGCAGCAACTTGTCATCCCAAACAAAGTACAGAGGCGGATCTTGCAGGAGACTCAAAAACCAAAAACCAGCTACACCTGGAAGATAGCTAGGAGTAGTCAATGACTAAAGATTCCAAATACTAGCAATAGAGCTGCCTACAACAGGCAATGTACAAACATCACAGCAGCAATTAAACTTAAAAGAAAAGAAAAAATGAGAAGACACTTAAAAAAGATGCAACCCCCTCCAGACATCCAGATCACCAAAGACAAACCCAGGGGGAAATGATGTGGGTCAATCCAAATACCACCTGCCTGGCCTCTTTGAAGTGTTAACAACAAAGGCTCTAGAAAAATCAGAAGTAAATTCTCAGATAACCACAGATATGGTGTCTGCAGTGAAAACCATGCTTCGTGATTCTAGAGCAGACAAAGACAAGAAAATAGAGGCGCTTAAGAAAATCAAGGAAGCCATAAATGCTCAGCATAGGAAAGAAATCGAACCCATAAGGCAGATTCAAGCAGATATTCAGGAGAATAAAAATTCCATTGAAAGTATTCAAAGTGGATTAAGCCAATATGAGGACAGGATCTCAGAGTTAGAAGACAGGCTTGTAGTAAGCAATCATGAAAAGGAAGATTAGGGGGAGGGTCTTTTGGAGACAGGGTCTCACTATACAGTTCAGGCCAGCCTTCAGCTCACTTTGTAGCCCAGGCTGGTCTTGAACTCGCAACAATCCTCCTGCCTCAGCCTCCTGGCTGGGATTACAGGCATGCGCCACCACATCAGGCCTAGCATTTCTTAAAAATAGCAAAGGACCACAAGAAATCAAAACAATAGGTGCTAGATAATGCAAAGAAGAATAACTGGAGTCAACAAAAAAGGAGGAGATAACACAAATGATGTTTAAAAAAAAAAAGAAAAACTGTTCACAGATGCCATGGCAGAAAACTTCCTTGGTAGAAAAAAAGAATTTGCCATACAGTTAAGTGAGGCATATAGAACTCCAATTAGCCACACTCAAAAAAAACTCTAGAGCCAGGCATATCAAAGCCAAGATTCCAGAAACTCAACAAAAGAATAAAATCTTAAAAGCTGTTGTGGAAAAGAAACAAATCACCTATAAAGGAAAGCCCATCAGAATCACAGCTGACTTCTGAGCACAAACACTCAAGTCAAGGACAGATTGGAGTGAAGGATTTCAAGCTCTAAAGGAAAACAACCTTCAACCCAGACTGATGTACCCTGCAAAGCTATTTTTCAAAACCAGTGGAGAAATGAGATACTTCCAAGACAAAGAACATCTGAGGAAATTTATGACCACCAAATCAGCCCTCTAAAATGTTTTGAAGGCTGTTCTCGAAAGAGGTAACAAGGACTACAACCCCATAAATTGCAACAGAAGAAATTCATCAGGGAAGGCAAACAATTAAACAGAAGTGGGGAAGAACAAGGGTGCAAACAACAGGAAAACAACATGACAAATATAAGTCAATACATACCAGTTGTAACCATCAACGTTAACGGCCTCAATTCACCAATCAAAAGATACAGACTGGCAGAGTCGACCAACAAGCAAGAGTCAACAATATGCTGCATACAAGAAACACACTTAATTCAAAAAGAAATCCACAGACTGAAAGTCAAAGAATGGAAAACAATACTCCACACAACAGGAACCCAGAAAAAAGCAGGGGTAGCTATTCTATTTGCAGACAAAGTGGATTTTAAGCCAAAACTGATTAAGAGAGATAAAGAAGGCCACTCTATCCTTCTAAAGGGAACAATCTAAAAGAAAGAGATGACAATCATAAATCTATCCGCAACAAATACCAGTGCAGCCAACTATACAAAACAAATATAAATGGGCAAGAGCCAAGTCTTAAGTAGGGGGCCCACGGCGCAGGCAGACTTGGAAGGCTGCTCAGGACAGACAGGAAGCCCTTCATTTCCTCACAGTTTCTCCCTAACTGCCACTCCCAAAACACCTTAAAAAAGAAAGACCTTCTTATATTTTTAGAACACGGATGTAGTTGGGATATGGGAAATAACAAAGCCCTAATGTGACAAAAGAAGACGACAGGCATTCCTCCTTCTGCAGGTCTTGTGTGATGTGCAGGCCCAGAGTTTCCTGAGCAGTTCTCCAGCAATGAGCTGAGCAATGCAGCACCTGGCAGGAAGGGGAGTGAGGCCGGATGGTTAAAGGGTTCTCGCACTCTTCAAACTCCGAGGAGAAAAACATGAGGAGTGGAGTGGAAAGGAGACATAGGAGGGGCCGGCAGTTCTGTAGTCTGGATACAGGAGGGAAGAGAAAGGAGAAAACAAGAATTCTGTTCTGCATTTACTAAAAGGACAGTAGGGCCTGTGGTCACACAGCTGCGGCCAGGTGTGCTGGTCATGCCAGGCAGCTATCCCCATCGCTGGGCCCTCAGCCTCAGGCTGTCTGCATGTGCGGCATGCCAAGCCGGCTGTCCGGTGTAGTTCAAACTCATTCCTGGCAGCCTTGGCTCATCCCCAGCTCTGCCTCCTGCTTTCTCCGGACATGATCAGCCCGTTCACACCACCAGCCTAAGTGCAGCACAGAAAGCTTAGCAGAGTAAAAAATATGCACCAACATAAGCTAACTAACTCAGAACACTGCATAACAGCAAGAACAGCAACAGCTAACGTTTCCTAGGCACTAGGCCCAGCCTACACATCTGCAAGTACATGAGCGCTGAGGCAAACTAAGCTCCTTTGCCCATTTACTATATTACCTCAAGAACTACTCACTTTTCTGCTGGATTCTGGACCAGAGAAATGGCCTTGGCATCAACTTCCCTAATGCATGGACAATGAGAGCTAATAGTCTGCACTTCTAAATGTATCCAGGATGCTTTAAAACACTTAACAGAGAAAGCACGTGCCCACAGGAACCAGCAGGAGGAGCAGGTAGGACCCATCAACTGCTGTATACGTCTTCTCCTTCCTGAAAAAGGAGGGTCCAGGATGAGCCCAGGAAGGTCCTAAGGCCTGGGTGAGCCACACAATAGGGCTCAGGGCACGACTGCAGCATCAGCAAAGCACCAGGCTCCTTTCTTCGAGTCAAGAGCCTTTTTCCTGCCAGACATGAATACGCTGAAAGGCACAGACTAATACTGCCTGGTGTTAAATGAAGAGGTCATAGAGAGGCCTGGCCTGAGACATCTGGTTTAGGCTCTTCAATGTGTGCCCTCCAAGGTGTCACTTAAAACTACTTAGAAGAAAAGATAAAGAGCACGCCTAAGAGCTTTCTTTTGGAAAGAAGAGCTAATTAAGTATCTTCTATTCAGGGTGAGCAAAAAATTAATAACCCACGTATTGGAGGACTCCAGACCAATTGAAGGAATACTGCTCAGCTGACCAGCGAAAGCTTAAAGCGCGACTTGAAATCTTGCCATCACCAGCACCACCCTCTACCACTGGGAATGTTAAGCTCATTTTAACCGCAAGCCATGCCTGTCTCATACAAACCTCCTTCTTTTGAGGCTTTAAGCATTACAATTATGCTGCGTGGAATACACCCTTTCCTACCGTCGCCCCCTCACAGAAATCTTACAAAAGCAGGGATGGCTAATCCAACATCCAGTTCGTTTTTTTCTGAGCTGAATGACTAATTCTGAATGAGCCACAGACCTAACAAGACCACTCGGATGAACTCATGATGTTCAGGAAAGAGGTATCAGGAATAAAGACCCAGACAGTTATCACTGGTCCTGCTCCTCTTGATTACTGGTGAGGGACCAAAATGCTTTCTGAAAAGCTCAACTGTTGTTCTGTTTTGTATTCTTTGTCTTGACCCAGAAACAACTGCTCTAAATGGAGCTGACACCACGATCACGGCAAGCCCACATCTGCCTCCTAAGCACCCTTCTCTTTGTGGGCTGGGGGCTGGGAACCTATGTAGCACTCCCAGGGAGTTTGTGTATTTCCTGCTTGCTCTTCAGAATGTGAAAAATGTGGAGCCTTGTTCTGGAGGGGAACATGCTCTGCATGTGAGGAAACACCAGCGTGCCTGCCCCACTCAGCTCAAGAAGAGGTGCCCAGTGCCGGGTCTGCGTGGCCAGCCTGGAGGTTACAAGTGTGGAGACCTGTGAAAACCTTTAGCAATGTACTCTACAATAGAATCTGCTGCCCCTGTGCAAAAAAATACAATAGAAAAACACCTGCTTTCTTTGGAGGGAGATATACTTTGTGTGGGGTGGTATGTCATCCCTGATCAGCCTCTCTAACTTGATGAAATAAAGGCTGCTCTATTCTTAAGAAAAACAAGACAAATCAGTAAGAATTAAGCACCGCTGCATCTTGGCAGACTGGTAACTGATCTTTAAAAAAAAAAAAAATGGGTCCTGTATTTCTGTCAGTACTTAATGACACTTTCACAGAGACATTCTCAGAAGATGAGGAATGCTATGTTCCATTCGAGGCTCACGTGATAAGGAGAAAACTGCGACGATCTGTCCCCTACCTTCACCATCACTCCCACATTTACCCCCTGTGTGTGTCGACCACAGGACAAAAGAAAATATGGTTATCTTCCTTTGCTTGATGGTTCTGGGAGGATGGAAATAAGGGTTAGTAGCAGAAGATGAAGAGAAAGGAGAAATTTTTTTAAAAAGCCATGAACCCTGAACACAATGACTAACCAAGGAGAGAGCGCCTTTCTTTTCTCCTGAGTCATGCACCGAAACAAAAGGGGTGATTCAGGGTGAAATATTTCTCCCAGGGCCTGAAAGCAGGGATTCTGAAGGTCAAGGGGAAAACGAGTGCTGTCTGGTGAGGAGCCCCTGCATCCACCCTGAGCAGAGACAGCTCTGCGCGGAGACTCCCAGGACGGAGCCGGCTGCAGGGCTGTGCCAGGCTGCATGCTCTACCACAAGGCATCAGTTTAAACCAATTGTGTGTCCGCACAAAGCTGAGATTGTTTGTAAAAGGAGGGAGTCAGTGGAGAATGGAATCAGCCATTTTCCCTTTACCTTCCTGGGGCCAGGGGCAGGGCCTAGCATGGGAGAAACTGCAAAAAGCATCAACACCAGATGCGGGGACACAGCCAGGATGACAAAGGCCCCTGGAAATCAAAAGGGCATAGCAGACGAGTACTCCCTTTGGCAAGCCTGTTACTCTGGGGACTGACCCCCTCTGGACTGAACCCGCTGCCCTGTGTGACTGGAAATGACAGCAAGTCAATAACCATCAGAGGTACATGACTCCCACCTAGGAAAACACTTTCCAACACATCTTTAAGCGAAGAGCTTTTTCTTTTGTCTTTGTCTTCTCATGTTGTTGTCATCCAAAGACTGTTCTCCTGGAGGCTCTGGCAGAACTAGTGCACAGCAGAGCAAAATCACTTCCAATGTAGGGGACTCTGTCCACAGTACAGAAGCCACAGACCCCTTACCTTCCTAGTGACCGCTGGATCCAGATAGCCTTTGAGCTTCTGAATATATGTGTGGGGGGGATTCTTCACCTGGAATCGTTCCTGCAGGAACACAAAAGTAAACTTCATGAAAGGCACGAAGGCATGAGACAGTCGGGCACAACCGAGTGATGTCTTTCACCGGTGTCTCACACATCCCTGCAAATAATTCCATGCACTACCTGCTGTGAATCTCTGGAGCAGAGGCCACGACCCTCCCCTTGTACAGGATGAATCGAAGAGAAAGCAGCACAGTACCCCTCCGGGTAGCACTGCCAGTCAGTGGTCCATAGCAGTTGGGTCCATGTCTGCCCAGCTCCAGAGCCTGGGCTGCTTTCTCTGTAGGGCCTGCAGCACCCTCTTGAGAAATAATGCTTTGGGTCCTCTTTTCTCACATACTGTTTTGGATCCTTCAATGTTGGTACGTCTTGCGTTTTTAGTTATTTATTTAGTTTTGAGTCAAGTTTGAGTCGAGTCTGGGTATTTTCAAAGGCGTGACTCAAACTGGATGAAACTAAAACGAATACTGGGTGTACTGCTAAGAGAATGGGCTGTGGGAGCAGGTGAATGTCACACACGTGTGTTGCTATTCGTGAGTTCCTACAGCCGGTCCAAGGTAGAAAACCCCGAATTATTCTGGGCAGGTATATACATGTGCAGTTTTATAGTGTGTATACAGTGAGCTATTAAAAAATCATAGTTGGAGGACTGAGGTAGGGAACGGTTGTAATCAAGAAGACAAACACAGAACACCCTCAAGAAGTGGTCAATGTGATATTCCGGATCTCAGCAGTAGCTACACAGGGGCTGGCTTTATACAACTTACTACGCTAGTTCTTAGGTGTCACAACTACGTAGGGGTGGGTGGGTGTGTACTGTATTATGCCAAAAAGAAAGATAAATTAGTTTAAAAGAAAGATCTGTCACTAGCTGGGCGCAGTGGTGCACACCTGTCATCCCAGCACTCAGGAGGCTGAGGCAGGAGGATCGTTACAAGTTCAAGGCCAGCCTGGCTATAAAGTGAGCTCAAGGCCAACCTGAACTGCACAGTGAGACCCTGTCTCAAAAAAACAAAAAAGAAAAGAAAGAAAGAAAGAAAGATCTGTCATTTAATTAGTTGTAAAAGAAAAAAAACAGTTCTGTCATGAAATGAGGATGTACATGCTTGGTGAACAGAGACAAGACTTTCATTACACTTACGATCTATGCTTTTGTGATTCACTCTTTTCTACCTGCAACAGCAAAGCATTTCCTAGCAATCCTCTTCAGTCTGACCACTGCTTACCCTACGGTGGAATTTCACAACACTGGCGACTAGCCAGCATGATTCAATGCTCATCCAATCCATATAACCTTGTATTTCTCCAACACAGAGAGCCAGCCTTCCAGCGCCACTCGGACTCACCTGGTTACAAACTTAGAAATGCTAAAGATCATTTGATTAGTACTGAAAAGAACATCTTACTGAAATATTCTTGAAAAAATATTCAACACTTTATAAAGGGGTAAAGTTTGTACTTAAACACCTATTAAAATTTCCAGCCAGGTGGGGTGGCACATGCCTGCATTTCCAGCACTCTGGGAGGTTGAGGCAGAAGCACGAGGTACAGCCCAGCCTGAGCAACTTAGCAAGATTCTGTCTCAAAATCTAACAAAAGTAAAAAGGAACTGGGATGTAGCCCTGAGTATCATCTCAGATACTACAAACATAGTAATTATTATTACCATTTCCCTTTATTAAAATATAACTGGGGTAATTTGATAGTATATACACTGCATCTCAAAAAAGCTACTAAAGAGAGCAACATACTGCTGTTAATTATTCCCAACTCTTCAACCTTGAGCGCAATTTCTAAGGAACAGTGTACTAGCAATCAACATGTCTGGTACCATCACGGGGGAGGAAGCCGCATATATGCTGCTGCCGCTGCTGCACTAAGGGGTCAGAGGGGACCCTGCCTCAGAGACTTAGCGCTAGTCTAGGTGAAGCCTAACATAATCTCAAAAAGCTCTAAAAAATGAACTCATGAAGCCATTCGTGATTGCCAACTTTACATATGATGACAAAAGCTGACATCAGAGAGCTGCTGGGATATTAATAAAAAGTATGCTTTCCAATAATACAATTCCAGCTATCTAAATTTTTAAAACTCTAATTATGATGTAAGCTGTGGTCCTTTCTGCTATAGCACACACAATTATGGTGCAATTGCTGAACTCAGTTCAATCCAAATTCATGTTGAATACCGAAAGGTTTGAGAACAGAACATACTTTTCCCACAAGAAATAATAGTAACACCGGCTTCACCACCGCCTTTCTCCTGCACGTGGGAGCGCCCTCCTGCTCCGCCTGCCTCGGACCACAGTCCTCTGGAGACCGTACACCACGCCTTCAATGAAGCTGCAGGGTTCTGACGGGGCAGTACTTGAAGTTGATGAAACTGCCACACAATCTGTGACGATCAAGATCATTTTGGAAGATTTGGGAATGGATGATGACAGAGAGGGTGATCCAGTTCCTCTACCAAACACCAGTGCAGTAACATTAAAAAAAGGTCATTCAGTGGTGTGTGCACCACAAGGATGCGTCCTCCTCCTGAGGATGAGGAGAACAAAGAAAACTGAACAGATGGTATCGCTGTCTGGACCAGAGCTTCTGAAAGTTCACCAAAGAACCCTTTTTGAACTTATTCTGGCAGGAAACTACCAGGACATCAAAGGTTTGCTTGATGTTACATACAAGATGGTTGTCCATAGGATCAAGGGAAAATTCCCGAGGAGATTTGCAAAACCTTGAATATCAAAACTTCCTTTACTGAAGAGGAGGAAGCCCATCTGCACAAGGAGAACTGCTGGTGGAAAGAGAAGTGAAATGTTTTGTCTGACACTGTAACACTCTCAGGACTGTTCCAAATACTGGTTGGGCTGCTGTTTGTAATTGTTAATATTAGGCAAACAGCAGACAAACACAGCAGTGAGTCAACTGCACTCGCATATTACTGTGCTCACTGCATGTGCAGTCTGAGTAGATTCCAAACCCACGGTTGGAGTTCTTCTAGTCTGAGCTTAAGTTACTATTTTTCTTTACTCTGAATAAAAACTGAACTGCGACTTCTCCATAGAAAGTGGACGATTTGAGCTTTCTTTCTGTAACATAATTTCTGACTACTGTTTAGCGAGCTTTTAAAAGTTGGCACTGTGAATAAAACACCTTGCAAAAAGTTTTTTGAAATAGAATTAACAAAATATTATCCACATTCAGAGAGTGGAAACCGGAAAAAGGCCACTTGAAGTAACTGTTCCATGTCTTCCTGCCTCCTGGAGTCCATCCACACGGCCTGGTGGGTTAGCCTCTGTGCAGCAGGGCTGCTTCAGGTGGACCTGAGGGCTGTTTTGTTTTTAAATTTTTAATCTTATCTTTGAATATGTTGCCGAGAGACTCAGTAACCACCAAGTATGTGGTTGAGGGGAGAGATGTAACTAGTTTGCTAGCTTTTCAATTAAAGAGGACAATTCAAAAAGAGAGGGAGAGAGAAAGAGATGGACCAACTGACCGACCAAGTAACTGGTTCTGAGGACCAAGAATTACACAAGCATCGTGTGCTGTCCGGATAAGAGTGGCACTTACGACCGAAGGGTCACCCCTTTGGTTTGCAGTGCCGCTCTCGGCTCACGCAGGTTTCTCCCCAGTAGGGTTTTTGGACCAACTATCCAGCAAAATTACAAACACACAGATTTTTTTGAACTGCGCTGGGAAGCTCAAACTTTGAGTCACTCGACAACCGCAGTTATCACGGTACACCTCTACGAAGTCCCTACTGTGTGAGCATCAACCAACTGCAACGCGGCCATCGCACTACTGGCTTCAGGACTTAAATTCTAACCTGTCAACAGCTGCTCACAGACTCCTGGTTTCTTTTCTTCTTTAGGCTATGTCTACACAACAGAAAAAGCCAGGTTCACTCCTTTAAAACAAAAAAAATGGTTGAATAGTGACTCAGAGGGGCTTCCTCAAATGCACACATTTACTCATTCTGGTCATTACATTTCTTTCCTTAGGACATCAAATTACAGACACGGTCTAAATAAAGTACACTCGTACTTTTTCTAAGTGTTTAGCATTGCTGTTGTGATTTTAGGCACATTTTTCACTTATTTAAGTAACACCGATGTACTTCCATGGAAAAGAAAACCTAGAAGCCAGGGGGCCTTACAATACAGCTGCTCCACATGGTAAGTCCTTATAAGAAAACAGCCTAGCTGGGCATGGTGGCACGCACTAATCCCAGCATTCAGGAGGCTGAAGCAGGAGGACTGTTAGGAGTTCCAGGCCAGCCAGACTACATAGTGAGACTCTGTCTCAAAAAAAGAAAAGTCTACATCCAGGAATTCAAAAAAAAAAAAAAATGTTATAAAGAAAGAATATGAAGTGCCAAGTTTTTCTTATTCTTTATGTTTTTGGCACTGGGAAGCAAACTCAGGACCTTGTGCTTGCTAGGCAGGCGCTTGTGCCACTGAGCTGTATCCCCAGCCCCTCAAGTGTTTTTTTAATACTTAAGACAGTTTGTACAACATCTAACAGAGCTACTGTTGAGTTATAAATCCTGTACCTGACTCACCAACCTTTTTGTCTGCCTTCAAAACGGTCTTTTAGGCAATAGAGACATTTAGGAAAATACATAGGAGAAATTCACACTTTGGCAGAACACACTCATCTTGAAGGAATTTGATGGATAATGGGCACCCTATGTATTTATAATTAATACTTCTCAAACACCAGAATTTTAAATTATCTCTCAAATCCAAAACTTCCCTGCATGGCAGCTTTCCATGGCCCTCGTTGCTACAATTGCTTTACATCAGGTATACCATTTTCAATAACTAAACACAAGACTTCTAGGGAAATGGCAGAGTGGTATGCAACAATACAGCCTCTGAGGTTCAAAATCCAGACCCTGAAGAGTAACAGCATGAGGAAGAGAAAAAGAAGACAGAAGTACATCCCTAGGAAGTAGAAAGGCTCTGACAGGGAACTTAAACCTATAGGGAAACTGCAGACACAG